ATGAATCCCATGAGACCCCATCGATCTGTAAGGATCCTGCACAATTTCAGGGTCAGCTGGGAGCTGATTATCCTCACAGTCATGATCCTCCARCTCAGGGCAAYSAGACTCTTGGTCCATCWTCAGAGTTGAAGACAGAGGCAAAGAATGCATTTAACACCTCTGCCTTGTCCATGTCCCTGTTTGTGAKGTGACCATCCTGATGMCATTTCRATATTGCCTTTTGCCATTAACATATTTTAAAAAATGTTTTTTATTGTCCCTTACCTTTCTGGCCACCTGCTTTTCTAGCTGAGCTTTGACCCCACGAATGTTCTCCCTACAGCAGCAASCAGCATMTCTGCATTCTTYCCRYGTCACCTGATCTTGCTASCACTGGGCATTCACCTTCCTTTTTCCTTACATCCTGTTCAGCCAAGCCTTCTGCCTCACCTGCTTGGCTTGKGAAATTTGGGAATGGCCTGATACAGTGTCCTGAGGACTTATAAACTGACAAGTGCTGATGGTGCCCAGCACCTGCAAAAACATTTTCCCAGGGGACTTTACTCGCTAGTTCCCTGAGCAGCCTGAAGTCTGCTCTCSTCATGGCCAGAGCTGTGCTTTTCTTAGCACTTTTCCTCCTGTCCAATCTTTTTTTCCTGTCAAATGACAATAATGATTAAGGGAAGCCCTTTCCCTAGATGCAACACCTTATCAGCCAAGATAAGCCTTTCAAATCTCTCTTCCARACTGCTCAAGCAACTTCTCCAAACACCACTCTGAGAGTAACCTTTTGGTATTTATTTTCCCCATTTGTCATCACTCCCCAACCCTTTTTCAAAGTCACAGTAGTGATGCTAAACTCGCTGCTTTGCCCAAATTCTGAGCCCTGCAGCTACATTATGTTCTGTTGTTTAACCACCATCCCTCACCTACCAGCCAGTTCAACAGAAGAACAAAAAAATGTTTCTTTTCACAAAGCCCCGCGCACRTAATCGCCGCATTTCAGGGCAGCGGCGGCTGCGATTCCACGGTAAATGACACGCACCCCCAAGGTTATGTACTCTGTAACCTTTGTGAAGGCACCCTGGGATCCTTCTCAAACACTCCAGGAATCCACTGGGATTCAAAGCCCTTTCCAAACCTAAGATCCCCGCCGTTCAGCCCGTGCAATGGATATTGGCAAAATTCGTTTAACTTTAAAATAACATTTGTTTAGCAATGATAGAATAAGGGCCTGCCTAAATTACAGGACTCTATTCCATAATCCGCAGGTATTAAATCTTTCATTTCTCAGAACTCACGTGAAACTCTGTAAATCTTGGGAGTATTTTTCATCTGCAAGCATCTTCAGTTCTTCTCTCGGACACTCTGCATGTAGGAGCATGATAAATTGATAACCCCTCCAAGAATAAATGAAAAAGCATCCTGGGAGCAAGTAAAGTCTGAGTAAAATCAGGCGACCAAAGCAGAAAAGCTTTCAGGAGTCAACACTCTTAAACACTTCCCCAAGCCTCTCTCAACACCATTCCTCTGTATTTAGACAGAAGTTCAAAATCCAGAGCGATGCCTGCAGCCATTTTTCATTCAATTATATTTCACGGGTAAGATGTTCAAAAGCGACCTCTAATTTCAGAAAATGAAATCCCTGAGAACACGCTGGGATATCCAGGGAATAACTGCAGCACTGCCAGGCACCACTGGCACTGACACCTCTCACCCAGGGCTTCAGATATGCTATTTTGGCTTTGTGTTGAAATGAGGATTTAGAATTTTGATTCTAAAAGGACACAGCTTAATAAYTTCCAGTAGTTAGGTTGAAGTACATGAAATAAATACTTTTGGGAGCTTAGCTTTAGGGGAAGAAAAAAGTCTGAGGGCAAAGAAGTAATGAGGAAAGCAAGAGTGCTGACTTTAAGCTGCAAGGCTTTAAAATACTGCAAATAACACAAAACTACCCRCACTAAAATACCTTACAAGAGTCAGTAAATACATGTATATACCCTAGGAGTGCAGCCATGTTGTTCAGCTTTCTTTTCTTCTCTATTTTGCCCCTAAAGGAAAGCCATTCTCCCTCTTTTCATCTCACAAAATGAGAGCACCTTTTTCTTCCTCTGAAGAACTACTGTATCTCCAGCAAAATGTATTTTTAGCACTTGGGTATGAGCTTTGTTTGCTTGTGACTACCAAGGAAACTGATTCAGCTCAGTGATTCAATGGAAAACACTTTTTGTTTATAAATTCCATTAGTCGTGGCATCATTATTATTACAGATAATCCTGAGCTCAACAGAATAAAATGTGGACCTTTTTTCAGGCCAAAATATTTTCCAGGTTGCACAGGGCTACAAGCTGGAGCCTACCCCAAAAAAGCACTACCATTCAGGTTACCCCACATTTATTCAGCAACCCTGATGATGAAGCTCAGATCACAGCCTAGAAAAGCACAGGATGAACACTCAGCTGCAGAATTGCAGCAGCTGGAGGCCCAATCCTCACCTTGTAGAATGAGGGAGATCAGTGTTGAGCCCTAAGCTCAAAGACTGGAGAGTTCATAATGATGCAGCAAGTCCTGGAGGGTCAAGAGGCACCACTGACTGACTGAGGTGTTTGCCAATAAGACTGAAAGTAGATGTTGACTAAAATTTCCATTTTTCAATTAGAAGATTGTTTGAAATGCTCAGAAAAGCCAAACGTAATTGTTGTCTGCCTATGGAAGCTCTGACAAGGAAAATACCGAGTGAAAAACTTGAAGTTTTCAATGCAGATCACAAAATCTCATTTTTTTTTTATTTTTTTGGGGGGTGGAATTCCTTACTCTTTCAAGACTTACTTAAGTAAGTAGAATGGAGGTACTATTGGCAAGTAAGAATACAGAAACAGATGTAGTGAAGGGTAATCAGTAATTCTATCAAAGGCAAGAGAGATCCTTGTGAAGGTGAAACCTGTAAGGGGACACCCCTGACATTCAAACATAGCTGCAGGAAACCACTGGTATCTCCTGTAACAGGAAAAGTGAAGAGAAAGGACCTGAACTTCAGGGAAGTCTGAATGACAAAAAGCCTTGGAGGTGCTGACCTGACATAAAATGTTATCTGAGCTTCTGATTAATAACCCTTGATCTTTTTTGGCATTATATAGTAATAGARTGAATATGCATGAACCTGTACCTGAATTTGCCCAGTTACTTCACAAGAGGAAAAAAAATAAATAATCAAGAGAAAAAAAAAAAGTGCAGTGCAAAGGAAGTGGTGTACATTTCAAATAATACCAGAAAATACTTCTAAAATTTCACTGCCTTTGCCATGTAATTTATTCAATAAAGTTATTTGCAGTAACCAGCCTTTAACATAGACAGATGATAAAAGGGCAAGAGGTTTGCTTTTCTTTTCCAAGCTCATTTTCTTGGATCTTGATCTATGGAACTATATTTTGTGGAAAATAAAATTCACTGAGTCAATAACTCTATTCCAAACAGTCATACATCAAATGACATTACAAACAAGCACTGCAATCAGCAACAGGTCAGTCAATTGTATCTATTTCAGAATTTCAATTCCAAGATTAACTGCTTCGTATGTTATTTGGTAAAACCTGTTACACAAGGCACATCAAGGGATAAAAGATTTAAAAAAAAAACAGCTAAGAGAGTGAAAATAAAGCCTACTATTAATATGAAACTATTTTATAAAGCTGCTAGGAAATGAAAAAAGGTGAAGCAAAATTCTAATGGAAGACATGTTTGCTGCTGCTTATTTTACAAGTAAAAACACACCAATGTTTCTGGGAAGTACACATCACCTTTGAGGAAATGCACTAATTTTTGACAATAGAAAGTAAACTTCTAACCAAGAAAAACACATTTGATTTGTTTGGGTTTTTCTCTTCCCAAATCCTCCAGCTGCAGGTAGCTCTGCAAAACCAAGCCAAATTCCTCACCTCTAACAGATTTTTCCCACTCTTTATTTGGATTAACTTCTAATCAGCCTGCTGGTTCTTACCTTCTCTAATCCTTTCACCTTTACTACTTCATTTCAGCAACAGYTTGCCCAGGGTTGTTTTAAGAGGCAGATTTGGCCACACCTGAGCAGATTCCCAGGCAGCACAGACACACCTAAGAAATGCAGGCAGGTGAAGCAGCAGCCACAGTGTATCTATCACAGGGCTGAGTTCTAAGAGTGAAGCTTTCCAAAGCACCTGGGAAGTCACCCCAATCATTTTCAGACCGAAGTTTCACAAAAGACCTCAGGTTTGAAGATGTGCACCCAGATAGATCGAACTAAAACCACAAAAACCTCTCTGACAACTGGTTAAGCCGCAATATCAAGTACAATCCTGCTTGCTTGTTTGGGCAAATAAGACACCTTGGCGCATTCCCCAAACTGACATTTTGTCTGTCCCCATTGCTTCTTTTTTCTGCTTAAATGAAAGATTAGGATTCTATTTAAATGAAAGATTATCAGTCACTGGGATCCAAACACAAGATACAGAGAGATACCACAGTGTCTGACAGTTGAATCAGCATAGAAACAGTTGAAAACATTCTGTACTCAAATTAGTGATTTGCTGAATTCAAATTCTTGTAATTCCTCAATGAAAATCTTCAAATGCAGCGAGGAGCAACTTTTATGCTCCATTAATCTTTTCTGCTTAAGCTTGAAGCACTGTACTTTCCCACTGCAGAGTATAAGAACACCGAAACAAATTTAAAGCAAATTTAAAATCTTTATGCAAACTTCTGTGGGCACTGTCAGTAGAAGGCTCCACGCTCTTTCTGTCCTTATGACAATAAATTATGCTACTTGCAAAGATTTCAAAGGTGACCACTGACTTTTTCTTCTTGTTTTATCTCATTACCTAAATGTCAGTTCTATGGGGGAATCCTGGATGTGCTGTCCCCCWGTGCTCAGMATGACTGAGATCCTGACAACACMCWTTTCTACCAGTCCAACCAATATGGAAAATGCACTGAAACCTGTTCAACTCGTAACCTCCTGCACTCTACAACAAAGGAGCACTTACTGCCATTGTCGTCAGAGTCCTCACTGCTGCTAGGAAGCCGATGTCGTTTCATGATCTCCCCGGGAAACAGCAGGCAGCCTGGGAAGCAATGAGACAGCACTTAACCCCAGGTAATAACACACAGTCATCAGCTGGAGCTTCTGATGGCATGCGAGCATTTACAGCACACAAAGGAAAACAAACAACTTCAGCGGCAGCTGAAATGTGAACAGGGAACCTGGGAGGATGCTTAATTAGGCAGTTATCATATGAACATTGGAGAGCCTCTGTGACAATCCCACCAACGCTTTCACCCCCCAAAAAAAGTGTGTTTTGTCCTGAGAGGTGTTAAAATCACTAAATATCTGCAGCCAATGTGCTCAACTTCCCCTGCCCATACTGACACTAGGTTTGCAATACAATAACATTTTTACTGCTTGTGTAAATATTTACTTTGGCTAATATATTTCTGGAGCAGTTTTATTCCTGTTTAAAGTGCCAGATTTACRAAATTGGAGATTAAAGTCATCCACTTAAACATAAAAAAATGAAACGTCAGCAGTAGCAAGCCCAGTTTTCCCAGGTTAACCAAACATGCACCATCTATACCCTGGAAAGCACGACCCCCTAAAGATGAGAGAGTTACTTCCTCCTACAGGCACATTTCTAGCACCATGCCCAAACTGTTCTTTGGGAGTAAAGATTCTTCAGATGATTAYTCAGAAGTTCCTCCAAACTGCCAGTTTTCTACCAAGTTCATGGGCACATGAACCATTGATATAAAGTCAAAAAATTCCCAATCTCTTTAACTGCTGGTATTTTCGCGTGCATTCCCTGCAGAACAAAACCAAATTCAGAAAAAACAAGGAAGCTGGAAATAGCCAGTCAGTATTTACATGTAAAAAGCTGTTAAAAAGTSCAAGTTGAAGAGCAGAAAAAACATGACAAGACAAGTCCAGAAAGGCATATCCACCAYGATCTAAACCGACAAGGACTCTAGATGCACATCAAAGCTCTTGCCACATATCAATCATGGTTTTGACAAGGCCTAGGCACCCTGCTAGCAGCAAATCCCTCACACCTATCTCTGMACACAGATTTTGATATCAGATGCCAAAATATTTTTTTCCTCCTAGGTAAGTGCAGAAAACCTAACCTTATTTCCTCGTGAGTTTGGACTGCCTCGAAACCTCTCAACAAAACTCTTTCCACTGGGCCTTTAGTATAAGAATTATCTTCTTCAGCTTTGATCACTGAGAACACAGCTCACTGCAGATAATGCAGTAATGCCTTCAACTTTCATAAGGCTGATTCCCAAAATAACAAAACCCAAGAAGTCTAACCAAAGCCTGACACCATTTCCRAAGGAGTGCAAAAACATCTGCTCCTCCAGAAGCGATTAACATAAAAAGAAAATAGTACTTATGAGGGAATTAATTTTATCACCACTASCAAGTCACAAGCAACTGAACCTGAGATTGTATTTTACACTTCCAGTGAACTTAATACAGTTAAGAGCCCAGCATTGCAGGATTGCCTCCTTTTTCATATCATATGTGCAAACAGAGYTGGGGGGAAGCCTCCCTCCCACAGACTGACTTTTCAGAGTGGGATTTAATACATCTGTCATTGAAACAAGTAACAGTTTTAAACTGCAAACTGTGCTCACTGAAGAGAAGTTGAATGGTTCACCTTACCAAGACCTTTCGTCAYCATTTCACAGAGTAAAAGTTCACACACGCCATCTGATGCCAGAGAATAAAGGATCATAAATGGCAGCCTCTTRCAGGGCTAGGAGAATTCTCTCCAAAAATTGCTTTGAAGCAGGCCAGAACTTTGTGTGTATGGGAGACRGAAATGCTGCCAGCGGATAAATACACAGACCAGCCAGGACCATCAAAACCCACTGAACACAGATCTGGGATAAATGCAGGAGATCCAGAGCCAAGTCACTTACAGAGACTGAAAGCCAACATTCGGTTTCAAAACAGGCTAAGACAAAACTGAAAAATCAATTAGTTCTTACAAGGCCAAAACAGGGGGATGAATATCTATTCTGTAAGGCATTTTTTCTATTAGCATTTTCACAWATTAATAATAGCAATGTAAAAGAAGATATACACTGAGCAAAAATCTCCCMTAAACAAAGTAAAGAAAATTTGGAAGAAGATAAATTGTCCTGTCTCAGAAGTGCAATTTGTATATTCCTGGTCAAAATCCTCACTTCTTGGTTTATTTCCCACATGGTCTGAAAAGCACTGTAAAGCAAAATAACAGAGTATACAGACACACACGTGAACTTGCAACAAGCAAGAAAATTTGGAATTCTGCTCCTTCACATCTTTCTGTGCATTTTGAGTTGATCTTCTCCTGGCATATTTTCTGCAAATTCAAAAAAAAAATGAAGAGACATCTTCTTCCTCCTATCACATGTGTTTAAAAAACAAGCTGAGCATCTCCTTTTTGGTTCTGTTTAAAGGAAAGAGTGGTATTCACACCTCCCAACTGAAGCACTCTCCAGAGTTTTTCAGGAAATAAGCTGGAACAGAAGCCACTTTSCTGAGTACAGAGTATTAGATAAGGCARCTAATTTCCYTGTCCACTCTAGTCAGGTGTCTGAAGTTGGCCACACTGAAAAGTCTGTATTCCCAACAGTAACACTAAAAGAAATACCCCATTTGATGTGGCTCCTGTGAGATCRTTTTACAGATGCATGGGTGTAAAAAGAGATCTCATTTTCCCATCTTTGAATTTAACCTGAGTTTACAAGGAGCTAAATCACAGATGAAAAAGCAGCATTTGGCTTCTTAGAGCAACACTCAAATCCCATAAGATTAACCCCCTGGAACTTTTGTCATTAGAAGAACAGCTTTTTTTCAACTTCTAAAATAGTTTTAAACTGCTCCCACCAGATGTTCATATCCACAGCTCAAAACACATGTTCTAGAGATAACACTGGAACAGCCAGTAAGACTTAAAACCAYGCAGACTGAAACGCTGCTGGGTTTRAAGGTATCACAGTGTCTCTGCCCCAAAGGCTACTGCTTTCTGTCATGTGGAGGGTGACTCAGAGTCACACCAGGAACGCATTAGAAAATGCATTMAAATGCAAAATACATTAAAAATAAACACGAGGATTATGGATAATGATGGTTAGATGCAGACTCATGATGCAAGTTTTTTCCCTGTTCCTGCAGGCATACACTATGATCACCATGCCTGTARGCAAAGAGAACTCACATGTAAGGGAACAAAAAGGGTAAAACATTTGAGCCCAGCTTTAACATCAAGATTAAAAGCAATGCACCCCAGCCTGCAACACTTGCAGGGCAGGAAGAGACACCCAGATGACTGAGCTCAATTCCCAAGTGCCTGCAATCACGTAATTGCTGTCCAGCCCAGAAGTTTCCACAAAACACTCACTGCACCCACACATGGCACAGAGTGACCTCSCAACTCCCCTGGCAGAAGGAAGGGCTGTCTGAAGCAAGGAAGCAGCCAGCCAAGCAGTGCCTGTGAACCCTGGATCCTCTAGCAAACATTTCTACAGCTGTTTTTCCCCAATTCTTACACCAACTCCAAAAGGGCATTTGCCCAACACACCATTTCCCTGAAGAGAGAGCCCATCCCATCAAAATCYACCCCCAAGTCCAACATCCCTAGGCTGCTTCACCAAGCTACCTCAGTTTTGTGATACCTGTGAATTTTTAATAACTCAACAACTTTTGTATATGAAGTGTCTCTGTTTCATTTCCTTGAAAGGCAATTATTTGTGTTAAAACCATCYTTTCAGAAATCAGTCAGGCCAACACACAGCATGCTGATAGCATTTTCTGCTGTGCACTCCTGTAAAACATTTACCCATTTATTGGGGAGGAATCAAACCAGACTCAGCTTTCAACCAAACACAGCTTTCAAGAAACAGCCACAACTYTGCTGGCAATGTCATTCCAATCCCACAGGCAGCAAAGCATCCAAGAGCACTTCATGCAATCACAACTCAATGATGGGACAAAAACCATGTCTTTTTAGTGCCCAGTGGTCCTCAGATGAGCTGGCCATACCAGGGCAGCACACATTTACAGAAACAAGTCACCAGCCGCTTTTCCATCCTTTTCCATCGTGCTTGCTCTGGAGGTTAAGCTCTGGGTTTTTCTCATTGATTAGGTACAAACTTTAAACACGCTCTGAATGCACCTGTGGACTTCGATGGTGCCTTTGTTCAATTGTTTTTAAAGGCAACATTACACTGCCTGAAACTGGCTACTGTAATTTGGAGATAGTGGCAAGCCTTTTTCAAAATACTTTAAATGCTGTGCGAACGAAATGACAATAATCCAATATAATCAATTTTAGGCCACAAAACAGCATTTGAATTTACATATCCTCAACTCCTAAGTTGAGCAACCAACATCTAAATCTATACAAATAAGTAGATGTAGGTGGGCTGTCCACTTCCCAGTATTTGATGACAGATGCAGTGCAATGGGTAAGACCCAGCAACATGACACAGCACAGCAAATTCACTATTTTTAGCAGTATGMATTATCATGCTACTCTATTCCYACCTTTCCAAGAGGTAAAATAACCAACAAAACCCAAAGACCCCATGGGACAGCAATGTCAAGACCTTTCCTTTTTTTCTCCCACGCTGAAATCCCAGGAGTTGCACTAAGAGTGTAAAAAATCCAAAGAACAGAAATCCAGAAACCACCCTACAAAACTGGCACAACAGCCTGCACACAYGTACACCCATGTGCCACAAACTGCATGCACAGTTAAAAACCCCACATAGTTCTTCACTCAGTTTGACCTCAAGTAGAGAGGCAATCAAAGAGAAAMGATGTAAAGTGTGTCAGTCCTTGTTATGCAAATAGCTAAACAGAACCAGATTGYAAAAAATAATTACACATGGAAAAATCTACATCCTCAGGTCAAAGGTTTTCCACAGTACAATTCTTACTGAAGTATTTTCAAGGGCTGTATAAACCCCTGGGTAAAAGAGTGTATAATTCAAACTCTGACAGACAATTAACTGTAACCATGTTAACGGGTGTCACTATAACAAACTGCACTGAACAGCTGCAGAGACAGAACGGGAAGAAAGCAGAGTTATGACAGATGTACACCCTGAAGTCAAACTGAAAAACTGGCTCTTCCTGAAAGTAACCCACTAACTGCAATGAAACGAAGACTTAATTATCTCTGGTACACAASAAATYTGCTTCAAAACACCTATTGTACAAATGGAAGTGAAGTGTGAYATCRCTTAATAAAATGGATAGCAGATGAAGACATTTGTCTTCTATTACTGGGCTCTTTTTAAATAGCTTATTTATAACACCAACCCTTCTTCACCAGCACCTGACATCACAAGAAGCCTTTTTGCTTCTATCCTAGACCTAAAACAAACAACAAAAGGAAGCACATCAGAATAAGTTACATTACTAAAATCCACCTAAAACTTTAAAGTTCCAGTAAAGCTTTCACAGCAATATTTTACAGTCACAAGGATACAAGAAGAGTTCTTAAATGAAATAGTACAGCATTGTGGAACATGGTCCACAGTACAAAGAGCCACAGACCCTAAATCTGGAGGAAAAAAAATCCTCCAAGTCTCACGAGACAAAGAAGTACATGGYCAAACAAGGCCAAGAGTGTTCTCCACAAGAAATACTTCTACTGAATTCAGCACACCTATTCCAGATTTCACATGGCAAGAGAGCAGCACAATTTGGACACATCAACCCAACACTTCTTGGGAATCCACAAGCTCATTTATGCACCTATGCAAGCCAGCTCATAATGTTACCTTACTACCTGGGCAGTGGCAGCAAATTATTCCCAAACTGTACTGGAGAAACTGACTGCCCAAAATCTCGAGCAAGGCACAAACTGGGCTCTGTGAATTAATGCAACCCAACCTGCACCCACTGCAGTTCATCTCTTCCACCCAGGAAATGGTGCCAGCTTGGTCAKGTCCAGCTGAAAACAGGAGTGTGAAGCAGCAGTACTAACTATATGGAGAAAACATCTGAGGAAAGACTGGAAGTTTTTTCTTTTACTACACTCTGTGAATTGGGAATGAAACCAGAGAAGCTGGAAGGGAAATCTGCAGCTGTGAGARGAAAAGGGAGTTTATTATTATTATTTTATTTTAAACATATGTATCAAACATAGCTCAGAAGCAGGGAGCAAGTGGTATCTGAAGCCAGAGGGAAAATCCTGCCACTAAAACATACAATCCTTGCTGTTTCAACAATATCCCACTGAGTGTGAGAAATCTCTAGAAATAGAATCATAACAAGCCTATTTTGGCATAACTTTTATGAAGGTTTTAGGTTTGCAAGTGTGGGCAGCTTCTGACTTAGTTAAAAGACAACACCTGCTTAAAAAAGAAATTATTCCAAGTAACAGCTAAATCTTTCTCTAAAAAATGGGGCTGGCATAAAAGCATCTTTAGCCTTCCACGTTAAGGAAGGCTGAATCCTACTGGACTTTCTGATACTCTCTCATAGGTACGTGCGCCCTCTCAGACGAGGTCACACACAGCCTGTTGTACTGGGGGTGCGGCAGACCTCAGGCTGCCCCGGATCTCACCTGCGGGTGAATCCCACAAACTTTCTCAGAATAAGGCGGTCAGCCGAGGAGCCGGAGAGCGCCGGGAGGAGCAGGCAGCCGGCGGCAGGCGCTGCTCGCAGGTGCGCTGAGCCCCCACGGCTGCGGGCTCGGGGCCGCCACTCCCGGGGGAAGAACAGAGCCTTCGGGAGTCGCTTCCACTCATGCCCAGCCCGACAGCCAGCTCCAGCCCAGCCGGGTGCCGCTCCGGGCGGCTCTCCTCATCCTCATCCTCCTCCCGTAGCGATCCCATCGCCGCTCCGTTCCGGCAGCGCGCCCGCCCGGGGCTGGCAGCAGCCGCCAGGGCACGGCCGGCGGCCGGCTGAGGTCACGGAGCAGCCTCCCGGCTCGGGAACCGCCGGGTTACACCTCCCCAGCGGGGGTGGCACCTTCCCGGCCAGCTGCACGGCCGCCGGCTTCCATGAGACACAGCCCGGCTCGCCTCCTCCTTCTCCTCCCTCCCGGCTCCCGCTCCTCCCCGCCGCCGGCCGCACCAATCCGCTCGGCCACGGCTGCAAATCAAACTTGGTGGCCCCGGCTCCGCCGCCTCTCCCTCAAAGCCCTGTCACTGCCGAAAACGGCCAAGGCACCTTCCCCGCCCGCCCCCGCGGCCGCGCTGCGATGGAGTGGGTGGACGGGACGGCGGATGGAGCGGCAGCTCGGAGACGAGCTCATTTTCTGTGTCTGTCTCTCCTCCCACTCCTAGACAGTTCTGGAAACTGTGTTATCACCTCTTGTCACAGGAAACCAACCAGCAGGCGGTGCAAACAAACAAACACCCTTTGCCTCCACCCTTCCCAAAATCATCCTATCGGGAACGAACGGGCGGGCGCGAACAGGAAAAACAAATTAAAAAAAAAAACCATAATACCCCACACAAATAAAACCAAAACAACATCCCCCCACTCGAAAAAAAACCACCACCAAAATTCTCCTGGGAGCAGGCGACTAGCCGAGCCCAGGGCCGGGCAGGGTGGCTTTGTCTAACTGGAACAAGTGGAATGATGGCTGGAGCCGCACTCACCTCCCCGGGGAAAGCGGCCCGTTACCCAGAAATGCCGCAGCCCCGCTCCGTCCCGCTCGCCAGCCACCGGGGCAAGAGCCAAATCGCGGAGCTGCCCYGACCGCCGCCCGAGCAAGTTGGGGCGTTCTCCGCCGCTCCCCGCGGTCCCTGTGCGATGTTCCGTTCGCGCCCCAACACCGCCGGCCGCCTTTCCCCTCCCTCGCCCGCAAACTCCGGCCCGGCCACGCGGATTCGCCCCTCGGCCTGCGCCGGGCACCGGCCGAGCGGCGGGAGGGGGCCGGCCCCCCGCGTCCTGCCCAAGTTCGCTCCGCGCCCCCCGCCCCGCTCCCGCTTTGATCCCCGCAGCCGGGGCGGGGGTCGGGCGCCGCGGGGTCGCCGTGCACCTGCCGGCCGCTGCCCCGCTGCCGCTCCGCGCCCCGGCGGGGCCGGCCAGCGCCGCACACATTTCCCCGCCTTTTCCCACTCTCAAACACGTGGACTTCGGGGCTCGGGGAAGTTGTTCTGTACCAGGAGACATCGCGCGCCCGCCCGGGGGGACAGGGCCACCTCTGACAGCCCGGGGCTCCGCGCCTCCAGCGGTGCACCCACCGGTGCCCATCAGGCAGGCGGCCGGCCGGGTGCCTCCMGCTCACCGAAAGGCAACTTCTGTTTAATTTCACCGATGAGCAGTTTTTATGCTTTCGAAGCATTTTTTTTTCCCCACAAGCCAAATCCAAGTGCAACTGGGGGGGTACGGCGGGGGCAAAAAAAGCTGCTCCCGCACAAGAAACACCTCCTCTCCCACGCACAGCGCTCCTCGCCCGCGGCGAGAGGCGACGGGTCTCGTGGGCATCTGGGTAACACGGTGACACACAGTGGCCATGACTCTCCCCCACCCCCTTCCTACACATCAGTATCCGAGCGGGACTTGCGCTCTGCCATTGCCATCTGGCTACCAAGTTGCTCCAACGCTTCCTACTTTCCGCGGCGGGCGATACCCGGCGCTGCCCCCGCGGCGCAGCCTGCAGCGACGCCTGGGGCGCAGGGCCGGCGGCACGGCACGACACGACACGGCATGGCACGGCACGGCACACCGGCGGCTCATTTGGCCGCCGCACCTGGGGAGCTGCGCGCTGCCCGCTTGCCCGCAGCGGAACAAAAAGGGACCCGCCGCCGCTTGCCGGCACCGGCCGGTCGCGCCGGGCGGCAGCGCAGCCTCCCCTCCCGCCTCCGCCCGCCCCAGCCCCGCACAAGTTGCTTGTGGGATAGCGGAGCCGCAACTCGGCCGCCTCCCCTCGCCCCGTACCGAGCGGCGCGGCTCTTGGCGCCATGTTAATGACGTACTATCTTATTTCCACTAGGCAGCGACCTTCGGCACGAAACTGCTCTCCCGCCGCCTCCGGAGCGACAAAAAAACCCCATCAAATATGGCTGTGCTGGCGGCTCCGCGGCGGGCGCTGCGGCGGGCACGGTTACCTGCTGGCGGCGGCGCGGCGGCGGCGAGGGCGGGCGGCGCGGCCGGGCTCCCCCTGCGCGGAGGGCTCGGGGCCGCCGCATGAGTTCGGCGCGGCGCCGGGCAGCGGGCACGGAGAGCGGCTCGCTGCGCCACACACACACACACACTCTCTCTCTCTCTCTCGCACACACACAGATTCCCTCTGACTGACGTTTGTACTTGTTATGGAGGAAGGACTCCGTGAATCAAACTCGTTTCTGGGTCACTGCTGCCACAGGGGGGAGCTGCTTTAATCCCCTGCCAAAACTGGAAGGCGAGGGAAGGGGGGAGAAATAATAATAATAATGCAGCGCCGGGCTGGGGAGGCGGCGGCGCGGCCCCGGGGGAGCCGCCGTTAACTCTTGGCGGGCCCGGCCGCACCGTGCGGGGYTCCCGCCGCCGCCCCCCGCCCGCCGGAGCACCGGGGGAGCGAGCGCGGCCGCCCGGCTCCCGCCCGCGTTCCAGCGGGCTGCAAAATGCAGATGGGAGGCAGCGCCGTGCGGCTGGCAGCTGGCAAATGATACGTGTCTGCACCCGCATCCCGCCCGCGGCACTGCTGGCCTTACCCTGCAACCATTAACGCTTCTCTCCCAAAGATTTAAGGCGATTTCGCAAGCAGGAATTGTAGCGCTGCACTGGCTCCCCGTGCAGAACGCATGAGTCACTATTTGTCAGGCAGAGAAACTGAGGCACCAAGAGTTAAACGCAGTGGCCACATGCGTAGCGCATAATTGCCGGGGCAAGAATAAAACTGCACGCTCCCTATTCTCAGCCCCCAGCGTTATCCCTCCGGCTCGTTAACTTTGATACTTCTCAAAGACTAGAAAGAGCCAACACAATCTGCGGTTCAGTTCACATCTTTCTAGCAGGAGAGGAAATTATCTTAAATTGGCACCAAATGACATACTAAACTTCCCATTACCTAAAAAGCGTGTTTGAATGCAGATTTCCTTTTTTTTCTCCATAAATCGCTTTACCTCACGCCGTACACCTGCGCTCCCTGTGTGAAAAAAACTCCCCCTTTTGAGCAGAATTCCTGAGCAGATATATTCTGAGGTAATAAACACCGGAGAAGATTCACCATAAGCTCAGACACAGAATTAAGGCGATCTGTGTAAAGTAATCCCCATAGTATGCAAATACAAATTAATGCAGCCTCCACAGCAATTTTAGTCTGCCAAAGAATCACACCTTAGTTCAGCAGAGGAATTGGGTCGTTACTCATCCGTGCAAACCGAGTCATTTATCCTGCCGTCTCACCCACCCACCTACCCAATAATGAAACAGTACTTACATTGAATCTGCACATCCTAAAAAGCTGTACTTTACTACAAAAACATCCTCCTCCCCCCCCCCCCCCCCCCCCCCCCCCGGAGATATTTTTTTCACTGTGAAAATCAGACAGTGGTGGTTTTATTCAGAGAACACCCTGAAGCACCCTCGGATTTTAGACCCTAAGACTTTGATTCCCTTGTTTCCTGCTGCATGAAAAATACAAAAATACACACATTCCCTGTATTCTCCTGCACTTGCCTTGRCATCCAGGCCTGTAAAAATACCTGTTGGCATCGCTTTCCCTATATCAGCACCCTAACTGGGATCATCATGATCATCCATCCAACACACCCCACCACAGTACGTGATAATAATTATAAACTTAGTGCCACACCCTCACCACCTTACCCCTGAGCTTCCAGGACCATCAATTTTCAACTCAGACTGGAGGCTGAGTTGTTCTGTATTATCTAAACAGCAKATGTCTGCTGCTGTGCCATGGTATAAACCCCAGAACAGAACAGGTCAGAGTTTTCCCCCTCAGTGGTCTGCAGGCCCCACAGGAGCTCAGGGACTRCATGTCCTAAGTTCAGAAAAAGCAATCAAGATCAGCAAAGCTACTGTCAATTGGCATTGACTATACAGAGGTATGCACCTCTACTGGATGAATATAATTACTTGCTTTTAAATAATTTTAAATAGTATTGTTCATTGCAGAAGACTGAAGATTACAATGTTATTTGTTCCACTTTTCTGAATACTTTCCAAGAAGCTCAGAAYAAGCTTCTGAGAAGAGCTTAAATGTGAATGGGCTCTAATTTCTCAAGAGGAATGATAAAAACTTTCCTGTCTCAAGCTCCTTGGATTTGAGGTAGTATTTTTGTTTTCCTGTAATTAGTTTTCCTTTACATATACAGCCAAGTTTATGTAATACCTTGTATTTTAGGAAGCATTTCTCTTGCAAACCACGTGAGRCCATGCATTTAAGATAACATGATTGTTTTCACATTTAAGATAACATGAATGTTTTCATGGTAACATTAATGATGGGCTGTGTTTTAGAAAGTAGCAGCTATCTCGATGACTTTGGAAAACTCCCCAAGTCTCATTCCACGGTGTCCTACAAGCAGATAGCCCAGTCTTTACAGGAAGGCCACGCAATTGGAACAAAGATGCTATTTTGTCTGGGTGCACTGTATCAGAGACTTCTCTGGAATAATACACTCCTATGTTTTAAAAGGAAATAATAAAAAAATCAAGAAGAATAATTTTGGAACTGTTTGGAAAACAAAAAGGAAAGGTTTCATCCTGTATTACTTCAGCACTACAGGTATGAAGTTGTATCAGTATAGCTATGGTCAAACAAGAGAAAGTAGTCTTCTGCTACCTTCACTGGCTGAATGTCAAGGTGATGAGGAAAATTCTGCTGAAAGAAGAGTCAGTAGAAGTTTTGCAATCAGCYTTTGTCTCTGATAGGTGCTTACCCTCTCAGCAAAGCAGGCACTTKGTTATAATAAATAATGTCATAAGGCTCCAAGCCTCRCTCACTTATCTTTGTATCAGTGTTATCACCCGTTCCAGGAGCATTCAGAGAATGTGTGTCAGCCTTACAGTTAGGCTTTGTACTAGCATACAGAACTTCTRGCTCCTTCTCCAACTTGTTTCATCACTCATATGTTAAATTTCATTTTCATTTTCTTATTGTTTGATTAGTTTCTTWATGTCTCCTTCTTGGCTGTTATAGTTTAGCAGGTGCACAAATCCAAGGAAAGAATATGTGTCTTTTCAGCACTTTTTTCTACCCTTTTCTCCAAATCTGTGCTGCAGCAGTGGCTAATAAAATACATCTACTTCTTTCTATCTTTTTTCCTTCTCTCTTTCTTTCCTTTTTTTCTTTCTTCTTCCTTTTTCTAAAAAAAGATTGATAATACTCCTTGTACAGTTGGAATCATCTCCACTAATTCTTGCAGTCTCCATACATGAAGGTGGAGCTAACAAAGTTGAGTTTCTCCTCACTGTTAAATTTAGCCTAAGAGTAWCACTTAAACTCAAAACTGTTCTTTTGCTCTTTTGGCTCCAGCTCTCAGGAACTTACATTTTCTMTTTTAYTTTTTATTTTGAGSATTAGAAAYTTGAAGAGAAGAACAGTACAGATCCAAATCAGCACTGACAACACTACCTTGTACTTAAAGAGTAAGACTTCCCAGAGAGCTTTCTTATCTCCTGTGAGATAAGAAAGAGCAGAGCCATAAGACAGATGCTCAGTTGAGCCAATTCCTGTTGAGGTCCATATTGTCTCTAGCTGGTCTACTCACACGAGCAAAGACTTTGACTCATGCATATGTAAWTCTATACCACTCACAAGTTGCATAAGTGCAATATTTTTAACTCCTGCAGAAATAAAACTCACTCAACACAGCTCATCTATAGGCCATAGAGGAACAGAGTTGTCACAGTTTTGTCCAACCCAAATAYATCATTTATGGCAACATGGCATGGGACCGCTTCACAAAATTACACACAAAATATCCCGCTAACTGGTGCTCTGGCTTTTTCATCCTTCTCATTATCTACAGCTACCAAAATCTGATGGGTCTGGATTAGGCAGGTCAAAAAGA